TCTTGCTGTATGACAGTGAGTGCCCTCGGGCTCCAGTCTGAGCTCTGAGCCTGTCTGAGCCTACGTGTGTGTCTGGAGCTAACTCCAGTTTTACCCTTGGCTAATGATGTATTCTATGGCAGGAAGAACAAAGAATTTGGGGACCCTTGGGCTGGGGGGCCACGTCAGTTTGTTTCCTGCACAGGAACTTCCCACAAGTCCTCACAGAGATTGATAAATACTCATAACTGAGCAAGGACTTAATGCCTGGTCCTGCCTGAGGCTTGTGGCATCTCTGTTGGTCTGTCAGTCTTTCTCCAGCCTTCTGAGATCTGGAAATAATGAGACACCTAAGGGAACCCAGAAGACAGCCCTCCCTTCTCCCAAGGGAGGTTGTGGAGATCCAAAGCCAACCCGGGGTCACCTTGTCCTGGGAGGCCTGGGGGTCAGGAAGCTACGGCCCAGTGGAGCCGGGCTGAAGCAGGTGGACTGACAATCGATGGATGGATGGACTGACTGCCAGATAGGAGGATAGGACTGTGATGAGCTGTACGAGCTGTACCTTACCGGCCCCGCTGCATTCCCCACTACGGGGCATCCCTTCCTCCTACCTTTCCGGACCAACCCCTAAACTTCCTCTTTGGGTAATAGCTGCTAAACCCCTTCCCCATTATCCTCTCAAGAACGCTGGAGACTTGGAAACCAGCGCTTGAACCATTTCCCAGGTGGGAAACACTCAGGTCAGCAGTTGACCTTGGTTACACAGTGAATACAGAACCCAAGCAGGAATCCTGGTTCACGGGACTCGCAGTCCGGACTCTGCTCTCAAGCCGGTATTGGGGCGTCCGGTAGTCTCTATGCCTGGGTGGGACATTCCGCTCTCACATCACGCCCCTCTCACAATGGATTATCCCGACCCACCCCTCCGCAGGACGGCAATGGGCCAGTCCACGGGCTCCCCACCTTCTCGTGGCAGTGGATTAGTCCCCTCTGTCCCCAGTTCCCCGCAGGATGTGCAAGGTTTGGGCTGCTGCCGGCCCCTGCGCGCTCACCTTTAGCCTTGCCTTTTCGCCACCGCCGGCGACTGCGGGTTCTTGATCCCTCTTTTGCCCTCTTCGAGGCCCGGGCCCCACCGGCCCCGGCGGGCCCGGTTCCCCTGGCTGACTCGGTCAGTTCTTTGCTGTCCCCGCGCGCGCGGGGGGGGGGGGGGGGGGGGG